TCTGTGTCCCAGGCAAATTCCCTATGATGTTTCCGTGTGCAAACATCAGGTGATGGAGGATGAAGTCTGAAAAGCCAGCTTGATATCACAGTGCCATCCCAGCTTGCTCTGTGCTGATGGAAACAGGAGTGGCCAGGACAGGATGCTTGTGTTGTGAGATTGGAAGTGGCAGGAAAGGGGAGTGGAATTGAAAGAGAAAAAAAGAGACATGAACACACCAATGGAGGCAGAGGCAGAGAGAATAGGATTCAAGGGTACAGGGGGAGAGAAAAGAAAGAGAGAGAGAGAGAGAGAGAGAGAGAAAGGGAGGGCAAGATGAAGGAAGGCAAGAATTCAGAAATGGAAGAAGAAAACATATAATTTGTGGGCAAAATAGGGGCTCTCCAAAAGAAAAACTGACATCCTGGGACCTCCAGAGCCAAAACCCATGAAGTGTAAGAGGAACCAGGACACAAGGACAGATACCCCAGCACATATCAGGACTGTGAGCAGGGAGAGCGGGGCAGAGTTTTCCCAGAGTTAGGAAATAGCTTTCCTAAGAGGTAGGGTCAGGAAGTCAGGGGTCAGGGAAGCTGATTTCTTCGGGAAAGACCTGTTTTTTCTTTACTTTGTTTCTCTTCCTCTATTCCTCTCTACCCTGTGTCTCTGGGCCTTTGCTGTCCTTGTCTTCTTCACTATCTCTGACTCTCGGCCATTCTTGCTCCTAAGGAGATGATGGGAGGCCCGTGGTCTGTGGAGGTTCCCTGAAGGGCCAGCACTCAGCATTTGTGTCAGTCACCATTTCACTCATTGGGTTCAAAAGACCATGGAGGCCAGTGCACTGCCATCTGAACTGTGAGCATCCTCCCTACTACTGTGATGTCCTGTAGATGCAATTAGCCCCACTCATGGGCATGTCCAGTCACATGCTCACGTGTGACACTGCCTGTATGTCCCTGGGTGAAGGCATCCTGTGGGCTAGTAATTTAGCATTGTTTCCTTAGGGAAGAGCCTGGGACCACAGGGAGGCCGGGTTGCAAAGTGATAAAAAAACGGGGGTCGGGGGGTGGGAGCAGAAGGCTGCCATCTGTGAAATCTGATCCCCATGGCTTCTGGGCAAATGGGACAGAGGAGGAGACTCATTGTTCCCCATCAATTGCCACATCATGGGTCACCTTGGTGGGTGGCCTTGTCCCACCATCAGGGTTATCTCAGTCACTTCTTGTAGTGAGTATGACTGAGAGCACCTGGTGAATGACATTTTGTGTGCAAGCTGGAGGGTGCTGATGGACTGGAGGGGTTGAGATGTGCACTACCCTAAGATATAACCTGAGAGTGGTCCATCCATTCTTGTGAGAAGAGGGATGATGGCAGGTTGAAGAATTGTTTAGAGTTGGGTTTGGTTTCCTTTAGTATGAAGGCAGAGGGACAGATGGAGAAGGGAAAGCATTCAGATGGGAGCGGCACTACAGTCACAATTCAAATTAGAGGTAGGGTTGGGTTACATTGGTTGAGCACCAGAAAGGATGTGAGACTATGGTTAGAGATCTGGAATGGTTTTGGCTTAATTTCATAGAGGAAATATGAGGGGGTTTGTATTAGTCAGATTATCTGTCACTGTGACAAACATCTGAGAAAAACAACTGACGGTTCTTGCTGTCAAGTGGTCTCAGTAGTCCATCATGGCAGGGAGGGCATGGTGGACGAGAGCAGCTCACACCATTTTGGACAGGAAGCAGACTGTGAGAATACCTTCACTAGGAAGCTTTCCCCTTTTATTCCTTCCAGGCCCCCAGACCATTGGATTATGAGCCCACATTCATGTTCATCCTGTCTGCATGCCCTTACAGGCCCACGCAGAAGGTGCTTTACCAATCTCCTAGGCAGCCCTTGATCCAAGCACGTTGATGATCGATTAACCATCGCAAATCCACTTGTCAATTTGATACACAAGCACTTCTTAAATCATACAAATCTCCAAATGACAGCAATCACAAGGTCATTGTCCTGCCTCACGTGGCGTAACTATTCTGCATACAACCCCAAATAAACTAGTCCCTTCCCCCAAAGTCTAACAGCTTCAGCAGTGCTCAAAAGTTCACGTTCAAAGTTTCTACTGAGACTGAAGGCAATCTCTTAGCTCTGGACCCCATAAAAATTTACATACTGGTATGATTTCAATATGAAATGTCCTCCAGAAAAGGCTCATGTATTGGGGTTTTGGCCCCCAGTTGGTGGTGCTACTATGGGAGGTTCTTGAAACTTTAGGGGGTGGGACCTAGCAGGAGTTCAGTCACTGGGGATAACTTGTCCCTGGCTCCTTCCTGACTGTCACTCTGTTTCCTGTTGTCTATTAGGGGAAGAACTCCTTCCATCACGTGCTCTGGCCACCATGACATTCTGCTTAAATGCATGGGGCCTCATTACCTCTGACTGAATCCTCTGACACTGTGAGCAAAATAAACCATTCTTCCTTTTAAGTTTATGTCAGGTGTTCTGTCACAGTGATGAAAAAGCTAAAATGCTCCCAACACACAGTGGCACAGTAAACATCCCATTACAAAAGGGAGGAATGGAGCACAGGAAGGAAGGTTTGGACCACAGCAAGACCGAAACCCAGTAGGGCAAACATTAAAACCTGTAAGTCCATGTGTGGCATCTGCAGCGTGTGGTATAATATGAGCTTCTAAGTCCTTTCCAGCTGTGGTCCACATGGCCTTTCTGTTGGGCTCTACTTTCTGCTTCAGCTTTGCTCAGCACATGTTACGCATCCCTGACATTTCCAACTTCCATGGGTACCCACTGAAGCTCAGGTGCCACACTTACAGCCTCATACATCGCCCTCTCAGGGGCTGGTCAAAGGGACTGAAGCTAGCCACATCCTGCCTGGCCTCCCAGGCCTGATTTTGAAATCTGGGTGGAAGACTTCACGATGGCTCTTGTAATTTGCATCTTGCAAAACCAGCAGCACACAGATAGTGTTAAGCAGAGTGAGCAGTAGCTGGGCCCCCTTAGCCTCAGTTCTAGTGAACTCTAAGTGTATGGGCAGCTAAGCATGGTGAAATGAAACTCTGACATGCCCTGAAAGCACTGTCTTCTCAAAGTAAAGTGTAATCTCAGCTGCAGACTATGAAGATGGAGGTAGGAGTATCATAGCCAGAGGCCAGCCCAGGCAAAAGTGAGAGACCGCATCTCTAAAAAAAAAAACTACAAGCAAAAAGGACTGGGTAAGTGACTCAAGTGGTAGAGTGCTTGTCTAGAAAGTGCAAGAGCCTGAGTTCAATTCCAAGTATTGCAAAAAAAATTAAATGAGTTAATACATGTGACACCATGAGAACAGAATGTGCACGTTTGGTGATAAGGGAAGGGCACACCAGGAGTAGATACAAGTGGGACTTCTGAAGGGTGTTGGTTGGGACTTTGGGGGGTCAGATGTGAGCAGGATTATTCCAGTGCCCTAGTCAGCTCTGGGGGTGGCAGCCTGAGAGTTTTATCTCTAGACCTGACTTGTGGTGCATGAGTGTGTTTCCTTTGTGATATGTCATTAGTGTTTCTGAATGTGTATCACAAATAAATTAAGATGTTCACATGGATAAACAGCCTTTGGGGGGGGGAAAGAATTAAAATTATACCTGATGCATAGAAAAGGAAGAAACAGACAGAGACTGAGAGGTAGAGATCAGGCAGAGCTGAAATGGAGGGGAGGGCAGGGAGGAAGATGTAGACACAGGTAGAGGGAGGGAGGAATGGTAAGAGGAAGAGAAGGGAGGTGGCCTCAGGGTGAGGCTGGGATACACAGATCTATGAGTTAAGAGACCAATGGGCACCAGAGTCCTGGGAAGGGCTGTGTCCTGTCTTCTATGGAGATAAGAGGACCCAGCTTTCCCATGCTGGGGACAGAGGGCACATTGGGTGTGGTGCTCAGGAGCAGCAGTTTCTCACCCGGACTATCCCAGGCAGCCTTGATCAATGCCCCTTATTAGGGTGACTGAGGACTCAGACAGCAGACCTCCCAGTCCAAGACGCAGTACCCAGACTCCTTCCCAACAGCTGCCTCTGTCCTTTTCTGGTCCCTGGAATTCAGGTCCCATCACCAGTCCTGGAAAGTTTCCTGTTCCCTTTCCCTCTCTCTATCATTGTTGTTTGAGGACAGTCTGAGTGGAGATGTCCCTTTTTGTTTTGCATTTTTCCTCTTGCCTGGCCTCTCTTTCTCCTCCCTCCATGGGTCTCTATGGGCAGCAGGTGAGTGGATTGACTGTCTCAATTTACAGAACACTGGGGCCTCGGTCCATGACGGGCTCATGTACTGTGTTGACATCTACTTGGTTCATTTGTTCACATATAACCTTGACCAGTAACCTTTTAGTTTCTTTTATCCCATGACCAGCCCCCTCCCGTCCCCAGGACACTATCCTTGTGGCATATTTCATGGACACCTTTCCCTTGGCAGTGCTCTCTGTGGTCACGTACTTGATGTTAGTGTGCGAAGTTTCTGTCTCATTCTGTATCCACACTTCCCTTGCAAGGCTTCACTTCAGGTCCATCCCTGTTGGGTGTGTCTGCTGTGTGCGCCTCCAGCTCTTGCTCAGTGCTCCATGGACAGCACCATATGTCAGTGTCCACTCTCCCCGATGACCATTTGTCCTTCATCTTGGAACCACATGGTACCATGGTCACCCCCTTCCATGTGTCCTTGAAATGCCTGCATGAGATGTGTCCCTTCCTTGCTCCCTAGAGGTAAGCAACATGTTTGAAAATCACTGGTCTACACCTGTGTCTGCCCTTTCCTTCCACCCTCTTCTGACTTCACATTCAGGACACAGGTTGGGAAGAGCTGGTGGCTCTGGGTTTGGCCAGGTGGGACCATCTGTGAGGAATAATGATACGAGAACTTGCTAATGCTCCATTTTTAATGGTGGATACTCAGGGGTTGGTAGCTATGGTATCTTTGATTTAGTCCACATAGGACAACACTTTGTGAAGACTCCTGGAAAACCAGGGTAGCCACACATGGGGAGACCCTATGAGGACATTCCTTGGAGCATATCGTTGCAGATCACTGGGCCCCCAGAGTCACTCTGGGAACACAAGAAGGAGGAGGGAGGGGGGTATCAACAGGGTCAGGTTCTGCCAGCCAACCAATGTTTGGCTCTCAGACCTGGGTACTCCACAGTCCACTCCCAGAAGGAAGACTGGTATTCTGGCTGAAGGATAGTGGATGGAGTGCTGGCCAATGAGAAAGCAACCTCAGAGTCCAGTTTCTGCGCAGAGGGCAGGGTCCAGAACAGTCCCTGCTGACAAGTCAGGGGAGAGGAAGGAGCAGGATCTTCCACCCAGGTCAGCCCCACCCAACCCAGTCTAACCTCGGCCCCTCCCTGCAGTGTGATTCCCTCCCACTGACACCAGAGGGCACCCGTAAGCCGGGAGTCAGGCCCAGTCCTGCCTCTGCTCAGTACCCTACAACCAGCTCACCAGAGGCAAAGCAGCGCCCTCCTGTGGCCACCTGGGGCCCGGCAGGATGGGCCCCTCTGTCCTTGCTGACCTCTTCTTATGCTGTATTCTGACATCTGCATCAGTCATACATCTCACAGCTGCCCCCATGCCTTCCGGGCTCTCTCCTGGGGGGCCCCAACTCTGCTGTTTCTTCTATTCCTCCCCAGATGCCACGTGGGCCACTCCTCACCCGTGTCAAGTGTTGGATTATGTCACCTTCCACATAAGGTCCCCACCACCACCCTGTCCCCAGGTCTCCTTCCTGCCCCGTTAGCTCTGTCAGCTCCCGACCGACCTCTCTCACTGGGTCTGTGTCGTGCTTTGTGTTTCTCTCTGTCCCTGTAAGGACGGGGCTCCACGTGGGAGGTGTGTTTTCTGCTCACTGCTGTCTGCTCAGGACCTAGGACAGTGCTGGGCATGTGGCTGAAGCCCTGTGTAATGTGACAAATGCCAGGGCAGAGCTGTGACATGCAGCAGGGAGATGCAGGTGGAGTCTGCAGAGGCTGTGAGAAGAAGTGAGACATGGGGGAGGGGCAACTGTGTACCTGGGGCACTGCCTGTCATCCCTGACATCTCAGCCTGGACCTTTTGTACCCAGCCTTGCAGCGTCCTGCAGGAGATGGTGGCCTACCATGCAAGTGGGTTTGCCACCTTCCATGTGGCACACAGCATGGTATCTCTCATTGTCTTGTTGTAGATGTTATCACAAATGACATTAGGCATGAGTTTCAGGTCCATGCCCTGAAGACTGTTTGGATGCATGTCTGTAGGACAGGGAGCAAAGGGCTGTGGACCAACCCCAGCTCAGTCTTCACCCTTTCTCACTCAGACCTGGTCTGCTTGGGGTGCGGCTCACACTTACACACTCTGTTCCTGTCTGGTTTGATGCTGCCCCAGCCGGAGGCAAGTTCACGGGCTTCACAGCCTCTGTGATCTGGACAGGCTGTGTCAGGCAGAGCAGCATCAGGTCATGGCTGGGGTCCTTGCCTACGATGGGATTGGGGTTCTTCAGGAGGCTCATGTTGAATTGTGTGTGTGGGAAGCTGGAGCTGGTTTTGAACTTCTGACCCCTGTCTTGGTTACCAAAGATGTTAGGGTGACCCAGCCAGAGCTGGTAATTGCTGTGATGGAAAGGGATGGAAGGGATGAGGAGAGAGAGATGGCAGGAGACTGGGCAGGGGTACATGGGGGATGGTCCCAGTGAGACACAGAGGCAGTGAGTGAGAAATTCAGAGTGACAGAGGGTGGAGGAAAAATAAGAGTCAGTGAGTGAGAAAACAAAGGAAGGTGAGGGTGTGAAAGGCAGACACAGAGGACAGAAAACCAGAGTGGAAAGAAAGAGCCAGAGGAATGGAGGGTGAGAGAGGCAGAGGGAGCAGAGTGGGAGAAGACAGCAGAAAGGAGATAGGACAAGAAGGAGCAAAGGCAGAGACAGTGAGAAAGACACAAAGGGAGGAGGGGGAAGAAAAGACCAAAGGAGGTGTAGGAAAGAGAGAAAAGAGGAAAGGGAGATAGGAAAGAAAGAGAGAGAAAGAGATGGAACAGAGCGGAAACCAGGGGCAGAGACAGAGAGAGAAAGAGAGATAGAGTGGAGGGGTGCAGGGTAGGAGGAGGGAGGGCCTGAGAGTTGCTCAGCTGCAGTGGAGCTGGGAGAGGGCTCCCCAGCAGGAGGGCCTGGCCAGAAGCCTGAGGTCGTGGCTCCTCCCTCCCCAGCACCCTGCGTTCCTCTCCCTTTTTCCTCTTCTCTTTCCTCCTCCCTCAGTTGCTCTGTCCCAGCTCCAGCTCTGCCCAGCCTTCCCTGTGTCTCCCCAGAGTGGAGAAGGATCTGCAGGGAGGGGCCAAGCAGAGGGAGAGGTGCCCTTCACACACACACAGTTTGGAGACAGTCCTTCCGTTTCTCTGAGGTCCATCCTGGGAGTGTGGCCAGTAGTGATGGAGGGCAGAGTGTGAGACTGAGACCTAGAGAGACAGAGATGGACAGAGACATGGAAGGGGAGACATGCAGTGACAGAGGGCCACAGAGACACTGAGACATGGCCGGACGTAGAGAGACAGGAGACAGAGACTTGAAGACAAAGAAGGAGAGAGGAAGACAGAGACCAAAATAGTCATGGAGAGACACACACAGAGCCAGAGAAGAGACACAGAGAGGCCCAGGTAGCCACGGACAGGTGGTCTAGCCCCAGCTCTGCCTCTCCCAGGCCACCTGGATCAGCACTGTGCTTCTGTCCTTCAGACTGTAGCCTCACATGAGGTCATCCAAGGGAAATGCCATCTGTTTGTTCCTGTGGAGCACAGAAGCCCCTTCCCTGGCCCTACTGGCCTCTAGATGCAGTGCACGGCCATGAGCACCCATTGGGGGTAAACCAGAACACCTCTGCATCCATATTTGTTCTTATGGACCACAACCACCTGCCACGGTTGGGAGTTTTTCATGCATTCCCATCCCTCCATGATCCTGGACTGAGTGTGGGGCACAGCACCTGCAGAGAGGGTGCTGGATCAGAGGTGCAAGGTTGACAGAAGGGGCCAGGACCTGGGTTAGGAGACAGAGGACCGGGACTGGTGTGGTCAGGGAACTTGGGTGAGGGAAGCTGGGATGTGCCCCGAATTCTGGAATTCTCCTTGGATTGCCTGAATTTTCAGGTTGGTGGCAGGTTCTGAATGGGGCGAATACATACTCTGACCCCAGGGAAAGGGGAGCAGTCACCAAGACAGCATCAGGAGCAGGCATCAGGTCTAGTTTTCTGGTCACTTGTGTGATTTGAGGTCTTGGAAAGGGGGAAAGGAGATTGTGTAGGGGACTTGTGTTTGGAGACAGGAAAGGGGATACAGAAACCAGGGTGGGGGTAGGATCAGTGGCTAGGAGAGGAAGGATGGGGGTGGGGTAAAGGGCCCTTTGGTTGTGCAAATTTCTAAGGCTTGGAGATTTTAAGGTTCTGAAATAGACTCAGTGTTTCAGGTATAGGGTTGAGAACTGTAAAAGCCACTAGGGGATCATGGGAACTGGGGCTCAAGAGCCAGAGCACAGGGCCATAAAGAACTATGGGGGGTGGGAGTGGATACTCAGATTCCAGGGACCTGCACACAGATGGAGCCGTAAGAGCTGGAGGACCCCAATAGACAGGGATGGTGCAGGATTGGCTCCTTTGGTGATAGTCTAGGGAAGAGGAGAAATGTCCCATGGTGAGCGGGAGGGAGCAGGACCTCCAGGAGAATGAGGATGGTAAAAGCAACATGAAGAAACTGAGGAAGGATTTTAGGGTGAGCCTGGGAGGGATAGGAAGGAGCCTGATAACCTGGTCTAGGTGAACGTGGGCTGAAGGCATGAGGCTGGGGTGGTGGGTGGGAAGGGAAGGACTTACGGAGGTCAGATAGAAGACATTCCTTCTCTCCTATTTTCCTCCTTCTGCTTAACAGTTCTTTCCAGGGGCAGAGCCCTGCACAGAACCAGGAACCACGTGGTGCCGGAGGTGTCTATGGTCAGCCAGGTGGTGAGCTGAGAGCTGGGGAGACTTTTTAAAGCCTTCATCCTTTCAAGGCCCCTCCTCTGCAGTGCTGGCACCCAGAAGCTGGCTGAGGCCCATGATTCTAGGTGTGGCCACCCCCTCTCACCATTAATGCTAAGCAAGGGATGAAAGGAGGAACACCTGATGTTCTGCAGGCCCCGATCACCCTGGATTCTTTTCCAGACGCTGAGCCCAAAAGGGGCAGGGCTGCAACAGCCTGGGCTTTGCTCCTGGAGACAGAGCCCGTGAAGGGAGACCTGGGGAATACACCCATAGATATTTCAGAGAATCCCTGACCATTCAAGTCAAACCCATATGACTGAAGCCCAAGTAAGGCTTTCATGCCCAGGGCCCAGGGCCCAGTGTCCCGACAATACTTTCATGGAGGCATTTTATTCTTCATTGCTCAGGATCAAAATGCTAATCCCTCATCTTCATCTTTTCATACCTGCCTGAAATACGGTTTCCTTGCCTCCCAACAGGTTGGTAATCCAGATGTTTCTGTAAAACCAGAGCATGTCCCACTCCAACTGTTTCAAAACCTCTATAAAATCTCTTGAAACTTGGTGACAAGCCAGGAAATACTCCAGGGTAGGGAGAAAGATAGAAGGGAATTCAGGTACTCATAAGTTAAGACCATGAGGACTGGGGTAAGGGGTATATTCCCAGTTGGGGATCTGAGCTCCCGCATATGAAGATGAGGTTATTCAGGGCCACCTGCGTGGAGAGATGAACCTTAGTCTCAGTGAGGAACACCTGGGCCCAGTGCCCAATCCACATTCACAATTCAACACCAGCCAGTACAACTCAATCCAACTCAACCTAACCAAAGCCAACTCCACACCAATCAACCTAACCCTGCCCACTACATCACAACTTATCCAGCTCAACTGCATCTCACTCCAAACCCCATCCAAGATCCACTCACCCCTACTTAACACCCCATCCAGCACCCCAACAAGACACAATTCCACCTAACCCAACCTAACCCTAACCCTCAACTTTCACATTCAAAAATCAAACCAAACCTTATCACATATGCTCCCATATGCAGAATCTAGACCTAAAAACAGTAATATGACATAATTGTAAAAGGAGGACTGCTTTTTTTTGGGGGAGAGGGTCAGAAATCAGCAGGTTGGAGGAGGGGGAAAGGAGAGAGTGATGGGGAGCATAATACAGAAGTACATTAGATTTATGTGTGAAGGTAGCATAATGAAACCCAACAAAAACTGTCAAAAAGGAGAGGAGGATGGTTAAGAAAGAGTAACACAGATTACATGAATTTGATCACAGTACATTATTTGCATGTTGTAAATATCACAATGAAACTCCTGGTACAATTAATTTATGCTAATAAAAAATTAAAAAATCAAACTATCTTCTTCATAGTTAACACAACCTAATCCTAATTTCCATGTCTGTTGCATCCCCAAAATATACCTGATACCTTCTCCAATTCCAGCCTCACCTAGTTTCTCTTTGAAAATGAAATGAAAACTATTCTAAAACCCTAACCATGACCTCCTGAATTATCCTGTTAGCATATACAGCTAGGTAGACATGAACAGGAATGAGGAATTGTCTCTGTCCTCTTCATGGAAGCTGAATTATAAAACCCCTGTTGGCCCAAAATCTGGACCTGAAATTAAGGGCCACATATCCTCCTTAGTGAGCACACTTCTCATAACCAGGCTGTGCATGTGACTTAAGGGGTGTCATGAACATTAAATGATCTTCCACTGCTAGTGATAAACTGGAAAGGGCAAGGGGCTCAAATGCACAGAAACCTGTCCTTACTTTCTCAAAAGTTTAGACATATGACTTCCCACATCTGAAGCAACCACTATACAGCCCCTAAACCATTTGGGGAGAGCCACAAGAGGAGGACCCCAATTTCATGCCACTAGTAACTCTACCCTACTGGATAATAAAAATCCCAAGACCCAACAACTCAGTGAAGTTGGACTCATCTCAAGATGTACTTTTCTTTGCTAGTAAATCATGGCTTGCTAATGTCCTAAAAGAAAAAGAAAAGACACTTTCCAGGTGTAGCGAAAGAATCACAAAAAGTAGAAAAAGGTAGGGGTGAGTGGATCTTGGATGGGGTTTGGAGTGAGATGCAGTTGAGCTGGATAAGTTGTGATGTAGGTGGACAGTTTGGATAGAGGGCAACAGCTCTAAAGCCATTGGGATTTGGGGTTTTGTTACTCACTGTGGTTGGGTTACCAGGTGGTGCAAAATTCAGGCCTTCCCTTTGTGGTCCCCCACCCCTCTGAATGATTTGATGACTGCACAATGGCTTCCCAGGTGTGGGAAGTTATATGCTTGCACTTTTGAGAAATCAAGGACAGGTATGTTTGATCCTCTTTGTTCTTCCAGGTGTAGTGCCATGTGTGGAGAGCTATATATCAGTTATGACACCCTCAAGGTGCCCATGTGCTCCATAAGGAGGACATAGGACCATTATTTTAATCATTGGTCCAGGGTATGTGCCATCTGGGGTTTATGATTCTGCCTCTGTGAAGGGGAAATGGCGTCTTGTAGCCAGGATAATTTCTCATTCCTGCTCATTTCTACCTGGGTGCCTATGCTTCTGTTCCCTCCACGAGAGCTCAGGACCATGGATTCTTTCAGGGTATGGATGGAGAAGTCAATCCAGCTGCTTCCTACTAATGGGGGAGTCAGTCACAGGGTAGTACTCAGAGTCCAGAGTCTTGATTGTTGTCAGGACTCAGGGAAGTTGATTAGGCTCAGGCAGAGACATCTGCTAAGAACATGATATTTCCATTGTTGGACAGGAAGACTGTAGTCATTATGAAGTGGCCGTCATGTTCATAATGACTACAGGATAAGAAGGTGTTGTTAGGATGAGGATGAGGATGTCGTTAGGATGACTGTCTGTGGATGAGGATATTCTGTCGCATAGAGATGAGAAACTTAAGATGGGTATAAGAAAAATTAGAGGATCAAGTGAGACAAGTCGCTGGATTAGGAGCAGGGGCAGGAGGTATGACCAAAAGTGTGGTCCCCTTGGTCATCATCTCAGAAGATTAATCAGGTGGGGCCTTGTGACGATAAGAAAGTTGTTGCTGACTTGTGACTCTTGTCACAAGATGTTTATTTTTTGGTCTTGTTTTTTCATTCTTGGAATCCAACATGTCTGTAGGAAAGAATGGCTCAGAGCGAAGGAGACAGATTAAAAACTGGAGGCAGGGATGCAGAATTTTTAACCTGTTTTAGTTAACTTGTGAGCCCAAGTGCTTTTTGGCAAAAAAAATGTTCTTAAGTGACAGTTGTAATCTCTCCCTTGTGTTTGGATATTTCTTGGTCTTGAGGGAGTTAGAGTGTCAGCCAGTCTAGTTTGTAAGTTTCTTGGATGGGTGGTAAGCTAGTATGTGAGAAGGGGACAAATTGTAATGGTTGAAGTATATAAGCCTAAAAGTTGTTTAAGGCTAAACAACTAAATGTTGTTTAAGGCTAAACCTAAAATGTTGTTTAAGCCTAAAAGTTGAAACATCATTATAAAGCAGAATGCAAGAGGGTGTCAAAGTGAGAAGACACCCAGTTAAATAAATTGTGTAGAGGTTACTCTTTTTTTGTAAATAACTCTGTAAGTATGGACTACTAAAAATATGTTTGGAGTCAGTGGAAACAGTCATTTAAAGGAGAGTTTGTCTTCTGTCAGAGGTGATTGGTGGAAGGGTTTTATTGTCTGGTAACCATGCCTAAGAACCCATTCTGGGCTTTAGTTACTTTTGGAAGGGTTGTTACAAGTGATTTCATTTGTCTGTTTTTTCTTATTGAGATAGGGTCTCAATAAGGGACCAGGAGTCCAGGCAGGACCCCAACTCATGGTCCTCTTGCTTTAGCCTCCACTAGGATTGTAGACATGGGCCGTGATGCCCAGTGTGACTCCATTTTGATTCTGTCAACTTCCCATCTCGTCTACCAACAATTCTCTCTGAAAATATCACTAACTGTCCTGTGGTTTGGTTTTAATTGTCCCTTGTTGCTGGGATGAGATTTGTCCTACTTGGTCTGATCTGTGGCACACAGACCTAAATTTCCAGCATGTTAGATACTGCACCAGAAGAACCAAGGAACATCTCATCCACAGGTAACAATCCCTCACACCATCTAGTTGAGTGCTCAACCAACTTAACCCAATTCTGTCCACAATTCAAACTACAACTAAAATCACACCCCCTACAAATGCTTTGGCTGTTCCAAAAACCTAACCCCCACCATTTTCTCTAAGCCAAAGGAAACCAAAAGCCAACCTCAACCTAACTCTTCAATCCGCCCTCCTCCCTATTTTCACATGGGTGGGTCCCTCTCAGTTCAGACTTTAGGGAAATCCACCCTCTCCCCCGATTCCATCTCTGCCCTCCATCATGCTCCATTCCTGCTCACATCATGACCCTCACAAGGACCCTTGTGTAATCCTTGTTGCAAAATGGGGTTTAGATAACACCAATGTGGCACACATTCAGGAGACCACTGTAGGATAACCCTGGACTTGAAGGGAAACTATGGAGTTTAGAGTTCATAGCTGATGGCCCTGCAAGCACCTTGCAGTGTGTGTTTCCCTGTGGTCCCGTGTGGCTCCCCGGTGACATGAATCCTAACTTACATATTGCACAAGATGCCTTCACCTAGGGGCGGATGTGGGTGGCGTCATGTGAACGCGCAATGGGAGAGGCACATGTGCGGGGCTGGTCGCGTCTATATGACGTCACAGAGCTGGACAGGATACTCATGGTGCAGATGGCAGAAGTTACGCCAAAAGGCCTGAGCCTGTTGGGAGCCTCTGCGCCTGCGCAGTTTGTGCTCACCTAGAATGCCTAAGGCTCTTGATGGGTGAGTGGTTACCCGGAAGCTCAGTGTGGAGTGGACAGAAGGGACAGAGTAAGCAACCAGTCTTCCTCCAGGCTTGTGATTAACTGAGATTTAGGTTACCATTTCCTAAATGTGAGAAACCAATGCTTCTGACATATTTAGATACCAAGACTGGTCACAGATGCCCACACTGGCACATGCAGGCACGTGTGTCACACACACCCACACACACACACCACACAAAATGGGCTCTAACCCTCAGTCCCTCTTCATTCTACATCAGGATAGAAGGGTCACTCCTCATCTCATCAAATACAACAACCCAGACTCCAAATTTTTTCTCTCCTTAGATCCAGGAATCCAGTCCTCTCCAACCCAACCTCTAGAACCCAGGAGTTCCTACTCCCAGCCTTGCTCTTTCAGGGCTCTGATCCCAGCCTTTGTAGCAGATTGGAAGGCCTCCCCAGACAGCACCTAGTGTGGGAGATGCCTGAAGTACTGTAGTTAAAGTCTCCACATTGCAAAAAGTCACTTGCCAAGACTGGGAATGGAGCACACAGGGCCTTGTCACCATAAATAAGGACCCCGTATTCCCTCACCACACCCTGCTCTACCAGCATCTGCTTCTCCCTCACCTTCCCCTCAGTTTCTTCAGAAGTTCTTGATGTGTTTGTTT